ATTTTATTTTCCTTTGTTTCGCCTGTCTGTGAAATGTAACACCGATGAGTCATTGTTTACACAGCTGGGTGACCTTGAACACAGCTGGAGTCCGATTTCCCGGGACATTCTCATAGACATCGCGGGAGGACAAGGGTTTAAAGTAGGGTGACTTCAATCTGGCGGTATATTTTTAAATATTTTAAAAAAATTATAATTTTTATTGCGATTTCCGACCCCCCCTAATTAATTAAACTTCTATATAATAAAATCTATTAATTAAAAAAATTAAAAAACTATCGGAAGTCGTTTTTGACATCAGAAAGCAGCTTTAAATAACTTTACCGAAGGAAAATCGGTGCGCTACAACTTTAGAATGATAAATTAATTTTGATAAAAAACTCCCATTAAAAAAACATTAAGCCTTAATCGAGCCTTATCAAAGGCTCATTAAAATCGCGATAAAATTTTTTCGCGTGCGCAAAAAATTCTGAAAAAATTTGGGGACCTAAAAAACATTTAAAAAATTCAAAAAAAAAATTTTTTCAAAAGTGGCCTTAACGACCGATTTTTACGTAACGCTATAAAACTTGCTCGAGTCACACTCGAGCGCGGCGCAGAAGGGGTTAAATAAGTACACCAGTTCAACATGTGGAAACATGATTTACAGATGTTAGTTATTATTTTGTGCATAGAGAATTACTCTTATGTCGAGTCTAAGATTAATCAGCGTATTCATACCAATTTGAAATTTGCAGTGGGTGCAAGTGGCTCCTATCTAAAAATTATTCTTATGCATGCCTGAGTTATTGAAGCAGAGCATTAGCAAAGCTTCTTCTACAAGGCTTACAGAATCATGTTTGTTCTCAAAATATGTTTGATAGATTTTGATTAAACTTTGCCATATTCCATTAATTGCGATGCAGAATCAAAAACTGCAATAAAAAATGGCGGTCCATTACTTCATTTTCGAGATATAAGGTCATTTCACAAGCATGTGCGACAAAGCAATATTATATGAATAGCACGACTTTGTCATGCGATGTTTCACAGTTGCTATCAAGTCTTGTATGGGTTTATAAAATTGAGTTTTCTTCTTGGTTCTTTATTCTTGGTTTATTCTTGGTTATTCTTCTTGGTTATATCATATCAATTGATGTTTACATAAACATCAATACCACCAACACACATTTAGCATTGTTTCTTTAACAATGACATGTAAAGATAAATACTGTCGATATAAAAACAAAATATCAATTACATACACAGAACCAATTTACGGTGTGGTACGATCGACTAACAAGTACAAAAACAAACGTTTTCGAACCCCTTCTGGGCTCTTCATCAGGTTCCTACAGTTTTAGCTCGTAAAATTTGATTACCGAATGCTTTTCAAATAACCTCATTCTTGAGTTCGAACAGTTCTTTTAAACTTATACGTTGCGCATGCGTGACAAGTCTGCCTGCTAGGATATAACGAGCGGCTAAAGCATGCTGTGTATCAACTCTTGCCAGGCCATCAACAAAATCATCTCCTCTTTAAAATTTATGCACGTAGTTACAATAGAGGATTTAAAGATGTGCATTGCCTCTAACCACTTGAGATGTTCATTGGGAGGTGCCCGAGGAGAAGATTGGCCCTATTAAAGTTGGCAACTATGTCCAGGTCTGTTACGTATGTTGCAAGGGTTGTGCTGGTTCTCCCATGATGAATATCTGCCCTATGTTCTTGCATTCTGATGCCTATGGATCTTTTAGTAGAGCCTATATATACTAAATCCCTATTGAATCTATTATCACTCAAAGGGACACTATAGATTCCTGGTCTTCTAATGGGATTAGGAGGGTCCTTCCCATTACTTAAGATGTTAAAAATAGTGGAACACCTCCTGTAAGCAATACGTATTTGGCACTTCCTGGCAATCTTGTCGTATATAAATCTTACATATTGGTTATATGTGATATTTGTTATATTGGCTTCAAAATTTACAATACATACATAGACATACCATTACTTAACACCACTAATTAGCTTTTTAACAAAATGGGAATAAAAGAATGTATTTTTTTCTTTCTACTTACGATAACTGTGTTTTGAATCCAATTCATAGACAAACCTATATATATTTTTTTTTAGTACTAGCTGATCTATTTTTTTTTCTTTGTATGTGTATTGGTATGTTTATACTTGTTTGTGGTGATTTTTGATAGAAGTTTTGCAACAGAAATGTTAGTCAGTAGTGGATTTCTTATTAGGCCTGCTAGGTCCAAGTTTAAAGGTGTAAGAGTTTGGGAATGCAGGATGAAGAATGAGGATGGAAAGCAGTTACAGGGATAATATCTGGCCCTCTGTTGTTTTTGTGGTGCACCGCAAAAGTTAGCTCCAAAGATCTATGCACTTCTTGGGTTTTGAACTTAATTTGTTCCTAAAAATTGTTTGAAAATCGATTTGTTCTCAAACCAAAACAAATTTTTTCATAAGAAACAATGTAAAATGGATTAATCCATTCCTGACACCCAAGACAAAGCCAATTTTTACTTTTTTAGCTGTGCTTCATGTATAAAAATGCAATATAATATTATCTATATCTATTTTTTATATATATATTAAAAGCAAAATGTTCTGTCATCACCAACTGAAACTGAAACTAACTCTTTACAAAGTGCTGTAAATACAGGCTCAATTCTGACTGTTTGGATAAAATATAACCAAATCAATCAAGATAGACAACAAGTACTTTATCTGCACTTTCCAAAATATGTTTTAATTGCTTCAATTTAAATTTTAATTAATTTTGATTTTATTTTTAATTTTAGTTTCAGTGTAAAACCAGAGTTTTAATCATTATTTTTAGTTTTAATTAACTGGCTACCTAGTATTAATAAATATTAAATTAAATATTATTATAATATATAGTATTATATTAATAAATTTTTGTTATTTAATTTGAGTTAAGCACTTTTTAACACTGATTTGTGGATGTAATTTATATTACACAAATGTCAATTAATGTGGTTTTTGTTAATTAATTTGATTTAAATTCAGTTGCGATGCATATTGAAAAATGGAAGTAGTTTCTTATCTGCATGCACATTGAAATCTTATATGAATAATTACGTCATCAATAGTTTGTCGTGACATCTAATGCCAGGATGAGATCTCGGTGCCATTAACTTCTGGATCGGTAGTCCTGTGGTTTGTGTGGTCAGGCTGTTGACTTTCTTTAACATAGGAAGTTTAGGGAGTTGACCAACAGTGTCTCTCTAATCTCTAATCTTTGGTTGGCTCTTGCAAGTAGCTTGTTCAACAACCAAGTTATCATATGAAAACTGAGGCAAATATGGCATTCAAAATTTTGTTCTTAAACTGAATTGTTTGAAATGTGAGTCACTTGAAACCTAAGGTTTGACTGTATTATAAAATTATTTAATGGACGATAATGAGCAAATTTATTTTTCTTTTAAATTAGACATAGAAAACTGACACACAAACTGGAAATATATACTAAAACAATCACTTCACACCTAAGCGATAATTTATTGTTCGTTTGCTGGAATTATCGCTTAGGTGTGAAGTGTTTTTTTTTAAATTATTGCTGAACTTGCATTTTGAGAGTTTGATTGAATTGGTTAAAGGATATATAAGTTGTATATATTTTGCATTGCAGGATATTTTGTTAAGTGTAGAAAATTTCTGGAAAATCATATTTTACATAATTTTTTTTAATCTGATTTCATTAATTTCTATAAAGTTCTGGTATAATTTTTGTTTAAATATTTGTATTGTTATTTCAAATTATATGAAAGCATAATTTTTTAAAAATGTATATAATTATCTATTTCAAATAATTATAAATCATTATTTTTATTCAATAGACAACAATGAAACCAGGTACCAATGTTTCCACGAATCAGACAAATACAGTTTTAAGTAATGTTGATAATCCTACTACAGGAAAGCAAGTAGTACCTGTAACAGGAAATACAGTTCAACAAATTCAGGTACCAGGCAGTAAATTTCATTATGTAAGATTAGTAACACCTCCATCGCAAAATATTTCGGGTACAGGTGAGTGATATTAAAAATTTATTTATTAATTATATTGTAGATCTTTCACTTTACAACAATTTTTTTTACAATCCCCACTTTTCATTAGTCATTTTAGTTGTTATTATATAGTTTACACTGTGTTTCTACGAATGTGTTCTTAATTTTTTATACAGAATATGGAATATGTGCTCACTTGAAAATTTACTTGGAACTAATTAGGTTGTAAAAGCAAGATCTACTGTATTTATTATGTATATTAAAAACTTAATTTTTACATTAAAAACAAGTATGAAATCAGAATTTCAAAACTTTAAAACTTTCTCTTCTTATAGTTTTTCTTTAAACATTTTATTAAAATTATAAAATATTAATTCTCAAAATATGTAAATAGGTCTGACCATTTACATATTTTGTCAGTTTTATTTTGTCAGATCTATTTACATCTTAATGAGAACATTAAAGATTTAAACTTACACTCATAAAGTAAAGATTCCAGTAAAACAGTTAAAAGATAAACGTTTTTGGACCTTTATATTTCTAGCTTCAGATCTACTAGATAACATTTGACATAAGACATTTAAAATGAAATACAGGTAGGCCTCCTACAACGCGGTACCTTTACAACGCGTTTTCGCTCCAACGCGGTTGGAAAAATGCAGAAATTTTCTTACAACGCGGTTTATGGTGTTTAGAAACGAATTATCTTTCACATAACAGAAAAATCTCAATGGATCACTTAATACACACCACAGCTTGGTGTACAGAGCTAAATGTCTTCGAAAACAGCTGTTTTGTCCACGTTGACGTGTTATTCCCATGAATGTTTCAGGGGAAGACCAGTTTCTAGACAGATGTGCATCAGTTACCATAAACATTCAAATATATCACTGAATTTTCGATAATTTATACTCTTTCAATAGGTGGGGACTGCAAGAATGGTCCAAAATACAGTATAAACTTCTATTGGGTTTATATTTTTAACAACATAGTGAAGGGAAGTTATTTTTTGCGAGTTTTACTGTCCACAAAACTGCTTGAAAAAATTTTAGCCATAACAATGTCGAATGAAAAGAAAGGACCGTCATTAGAGAGGAAATTTATTAATATATCTCTTCAAACAAAGATAGAAATTTTGGATTGAATTAAAAATCAAGAGCGGATAGCTGATATTGTTAAGCATTTTAATTTAATTGAGCCAACTATTTGGTCGATTAAGCAATAGGAAGAAAAGATTAGGAATTCAGTCACATCCGGATCATCTTCTACCCATAATATTAGTGCTTGTTCCATTTTTTTTTTTCATTATAGGTCCGAGAGCACCTATAATGAAAAAAAAATGGAACAAGCACTAATATTATGGGTAGAAGATATGAACAAGAAACAGTTGCCTTTAAATAAAAGTGCAGTTAAACACAAAGCCTTAAAAATATTTGATTATTTAAAACAAATGGGACAGTTGTCGGCTGATGAAACCAGTGTTAAATTCGTTGCTAGCAATGGCTGGTTTGAAAAATTCAAAAAATGGCATTCAAATGGCAAGTTTTTCTCTTTTTAGAATCGAATCTCAGGTTTTGTATTAAGTTGGTGTCTCCTATAATGCGATTTCCCACAACGTGGTATTTTCAAGGAACGTCTCTACCGCGTTGTAGGAGGCCTACCTGTAATTTAAAGTTCTAGATAAGTCTGCATTGATAATCTGGACTTAAAGATCATCAGCCAGCTGACAGTGACTCTTGCATTGAGTATCAGAATACATTTCTGGGTAGTTAGCAACAATTTGATATCAATAACTTTATCCTTATTCATAGCAATCAATAAATCTACTGTTCTGAGAGTAGGAACTCTGAGTCATATGTGATATCTGCATTTGGACCCACTATATTTGGACTTACTATTTTCTAGCTGTTTGGGTTTGGGCTATTATGATAAAAGCTTTCTTGACATTTTTTTATCTGTTGTTGAGTTGGCAAGCAATGCTGCTAGTATAGTATTTAAAAGGTCCTTCATTCTCTTCTGTCAGTGGTATTTGATACATTCCTGCTCTCTTAGTCTGAGACAGTGAGTCTTTTGTACTTTTGATGTAATCAAAGATGATAATGATGCAACAGGATTATCTGTATATTCTTTTTTAGAATTCTGATTTCTCAAAGGTCTGTCATGAATGCTTTGCATTTATTTTTCCACGGTTTGTGCGTGTAATTTAACAATGCTTGTACTGTACCAAGACCAAAACAGATTCTGGATTAAAACATCAAAAAACTTACAAAAGGGACATCTTTGTAAATAAAGAAATAAATTACTGCTAATTTCAAGAAGTTAATTAACTATAAGAAACATCTTTTGTCCATCATCAATTTAGAAACCAAACTGTTAAATATAATATATAAATTAGAACACATTCAAAATTTTGAAACAAATATTTGAAACAAATCCAACAGAATAAGTGAAATAAAATAATATTTTTTTATTTATTTCAATCAATCAATTGTTTATTTGTTATGGCTTTCACCTTTACAAAGGGGGTTATAGAACTCTTAGCAGTATTATTAATATAAACATTATTTTACATAATTATAAATAGATAGCAATTGATATAAATTAAATTAGTAGAACTATGTTAACATGTTTAATGAATAACAGAAAAATTTATAAATTTTATATAACATCACAGAACTTAAGTTATCATCATATAAACAAAACATATTAAAATCAGTTGTCAAAAAAATATCCTTTAACCTATCCAATGTTGAAATTTTTCTCCGTTGCCTGTGACGCCATGTTGAATTTTTGTCGATGTTAAGCTTAATGAATTTTTTTCTTTTTTAAATAATAATCATGTTTACTGTTGTCAGAAAATGAAGCAAATAAACAAATCTAATGATGCACAGAAATATACAGTGATATGTAACACGAATAAAAGCTGGAGAGAGGAGAGATACCATGCCACACAGATGTAGCAGACCAAACAAGACAGTGACCTATGACCAAAAATATCTGAATCTTGCCAACATAGTGCCGTCTAATACAAAATATGTCTTAGTGACTTAGCACACAGGGATTACATTTTTACTTTCTTTCACAACTGTGTCATTAAAAATTATTTTTTATGTTGCACAAACAAAACAAATATATTGAAAAATATAAAAACAAAAAAAAATTATATTTCAAACGTTTGATTTAATATAAAAATTATGATGCAAAGCGACATCTAAAATGTTCTGATGCAGACACAAAAATATTCAGTGTCGCCCATGCAGGTCAATGAGGTCAACACAGAAATTTTCGGGAACTACGCAGGATAGGTTAAGTGTTCAGTGTATTCACAAGATACAAACAAATGATTTTTAACATTTTCAATAATTCTGTTACATAGAGGACAATTGGAGTAAGCCGATATATTAATTCTACACTCATTTAATACAATAGTAGAGTTATTAAGTCGTAATTGTATTATTAAAGATTTAATCTTATAATTTAAATTTGATAACAGATAATCTCGAGGTGTCCATGGGGAAGATAGAGAAGTTTCAAAAAACTACACTTTTGCTCAATATAAAGAATATCTTGAGCCTAGTATTTATCTTTTAATAACTGGAAAAGTTCAGCTAGAAAAAGTTTTTTATCAGGAAATTGAGTATAATAAGCAGTTGAATAACCTAAATCAGATGATTTCACATTCAACTAAAGAGGGCCAAGTTATGACAAAAGAATTACAGTCGACTCCCTATAAGATCATAGATACGTTCCATTCTTTAGGAATCCGATTTCTTACAAGTCCTTCCAATCACAGCCCGACACGTGTCAAGTTTATGGACTACGGCTGTTTGAAAGGTTTTCTTCCATAAAATTAATCGATTATAGACTAATCCGACTCAACATTTCCAAAATACGTATATTTTTTTTGGGAATAATCCATATAAACTATGCTATAAACAAAAAATTGTAGGATTACTTACCGAGTGTGCACCATTCGACATCACCATTGCTCAAGCTTGTTTTCGTCGCAAAGCAGCACACCAAACCGCGGGCGATTTCTGATAATTTATTTTTCTGCGAAAACTTCGTTGAACTTTGGAGACATCATTAATATAAATCATTTTTATCGCCGTTGAATAAGAAATGTTTTTTCACAAGAAATGTATAAAATTACAGTACTGTATTAGACTTATGGTACCTAATTTACATACTGTACAGACGATAGTTAGCGTAAAATCTCCATAGCGTGGTGCTACGCGGCAGAAAATATATATATAATTATAATAAAGTTACAATAAATTAAGTTAATATATAATTATATATACAGTACCTAATTTATATATAATTAATATATAATTATATGTACAGTACTTAATTTATATATAATTATATGTACAGACGAAACTAAACTTAATTTACCTGCCTAAATGTCCATAGCGTGGCACTACGAATGGCGGGAAAGTATATCGGCTGCCCGATGACGTTTTACGTAATTATAGGAGTTTTTTTACCTTTTTTTACGGATACTGTCGCAATTTTTTTGCAGTTTTATAGGAACCATAATTATAGGGGGGTCTACTGTACTGCCTATTAATTTCAATTTATTATAAACCATCTTTCTAAGATCAAATTGTGGTAGTTGTAAGATTTTGAACCAGTATCCAAAAATGACCAATGTTAAACATATAGCCATTGGTGGTTGATCCAATTTGAACCTTAAAACGGGTTCAGGCACTGAACGATTAATATGAAATATTGATCTGATAAATCTCAATTGAGTCTTCTCTAATTTGTCAACAAAAAATGGGTCCCAAATAGGAAACATAAATTCTAAACTTGTGTGTATTAAGGAATTAATCAATCGAAAGTATGACTTAATAGAAGACTGCTTCATTCTAACCATAACCCTTATTAGATTAGCGAGTTGGAGTTTATATTTCAAAAACAATTTGTCTAAGTGAAAAGAAAATGAGCTCTGTGGAGTAAAATAAATATCCAAATATTTGTAAGTTGAGACAACTTTTAACTCAGAGTTGGATAAATAAAATTTATCAGCTTTTCCCAATCCACTCCTTCTCTGAAAAACCATTACTTTGGATTCTCATTTGCCTCATTAATAAGTAGTGTATTAGACTTACAATAATCCTGTAAAAGGTTAAGTTTCCTTTGAAGGCCAATAGGTGATATGAGAATATTACAATGTTGTCGGCAAACAGGAGACAATTCAATTCTAACTCTGGTGATATTGACATACCTGTAGTATTATGACTATGAAAAAATCCAGGAGATTGTTGACAAATAAATTGAACAAAATAGGGCTAAGTGGTTCATCCTGTGGAAGACTTTTATTGGCAATTACCACTTCTGATATGCATTGATTCACTTCAATTTGAAAAGCGATATTAGAAAACAATTGTCTTATAAGGTTAATAAAAGAAGAAGAGATACCTGTCTGAGAAAGCTTGGACCATAAAATATCATGATCAATTGTATCAAATGCCTTTGACAAATCAATGAATCCAACATATGATTTATTACATTTCTTAGCTAAAACTAATTGCAAAATTCTAAGAAAAAGAAATAAATTGTAGCCAATACCCTACAAAAGCACCCTGGCTAAAGGAAATAACATGAGACCTCTCAAGCCAAAGTCTCAGACGATTAACCAATAACATAGAAAAGTTTTCTTAATTATACTGATTAGCAATATTGGATGATAATTTAATATTGCTAATTTGTTTTCCTGTATTAAATTTTTGTTATTTTCTTATCTTATTATCTTGTATTAAAATTTTATTAAAAGAATAAAGATTGATGAAGTAAAAGAATAATAAGTGCCTCAATCTCTTTTCTGTGGTATCCCTGTTGCACCGCTGCCTTTTGTATGTAATCTAATTCCTCATATGTATCATATAAACTCATGCAGTGGGTGTACACTCTTTTAATCCACGCTCTAAATGCTGCATATTTAACTTGCTTAGTATCTGTCGAATTCTTTGGGATGATAATAGGTTGATAAACCGGTTTGCGATATATGCCTGTCCATATTTCCCCTTCCTTACAAGTAATCGATATATCCAGGAAGTTAACATTCTTCTCGCTTTCTTGGTCTAAACCCAAAGTCAACCCATATGGGTTATTGTTGATCTTGTCCATAAAATTCTGTGTGTTGTCATCATTTCTCCACAAGATGAAGATGTCATCGACATATCTGGAGTATATTACTATATTGTTTCTAAAGATGGGTATGATATTTCTTTCGAGCTGACGTAATACTAATTCACATAGGACAGCCGACATTGGGCTGCCCATGGGGACGCCCCTTCCTTGAAGATAGGTCTTCCGTTCAAAAACGAAAAACGAAGTATTACAAACCAAATCGGCCAGTTCTAAAATGTGTTTGTGGTATTTCCTAGGATTTTTAATGTTGGTAAATAGAAAGTCCCTCAAAGCACAAAAACAGGGTGCTAATTTTATTGAAGATTATAATGCTTTGTAATCCATTACTGTCATATATTCCTTGTCCTTAAGCGTAATCTCCCTTAGTTTCTGCACCAGTTGTATCGAACTTTTTATGGAAAAGGGGTACTCCTGAATTTTATTTCGTATAAACCTGACCAGCTGCTTTTCAGTAGCGAAAGTAGGCGAACTGCATTTTTCTATAACCGGGCGTAGTTGACAGCCTGGCTTATGGGTTTTTCCAAAAGCGAAAATTTTTGGTGTTCTTGGAGCTCGAATGACAGAATTCTCCATGTTTAATAGATTTGCTAATGGAGTGAGGGTGAACCTCCTGACCCTTTGCTGCAAAGACTCTAAATAGTTTTCAGGAGCATCAAGACATTCTGTATTTCTGATGTATTCCTTTAACTTATTGTTGTAGGAATCTCGCTTGATAAGTACTATACCTTTAGACTTATCTGCTTTCATAAGTACTATATCATTTCTCTGCATCCATTTTCTTGCTTTTTTTATGCAGTGGTGGAAGCGTCTTGTGTTCATGTTATCCATATTTTTTTTTTTCACTTCGAAATCTTGTTTGCCATCTGATGTAATCTTGACTCGTGGCATCCATACTCTTTATAATAATCTCAATATTAGGAATGACGCTTTCTGGGTGTGCTGCGGGATTAGGAGCGTAGAGTGGGCTGTATTTTAAAGACTCTAACAAGCAATGTGGTGGCGTAATATCATCCCAGGCTGTTATAAATGTGTTCTCTTTTCTGCATGGCCTCATGTTCTGGCGCTTAAATAACCATAAAAGCTTCTTAACATAATTGCGTTTTAAATTTCTTTCAACTGAGCAAGATAAAACTATTACCCTGTTATTGATATCCGTTAGAAGTGCTTGGTCTTTTCCATAAAGATCATTTTCAAAACTTATGAGATTGTGTAAAAGCCTATATTATTGCCTCCTCGTAGTTCTGATAGCCTTGTTGAGGCAAAGATACCTTAGTTTTGGTAACAACGAGTCACAACCCATTGGAAGTCTGATGCGATATATAGACATAGGGAAAACTCCATTCATATGGCATTGCGAAAGGAATTTGAACTTTGTTCTTGCCTTGCAAAGTTTAAGAACCATTTTTCTATATAGTTTGGCTGGCGTAGCCATTAATAAATAATCAAAAAATCTTACTGGAACTAAATCAAATAAATAATATAAGTAAACAACGCCTTTTTTAACAGTCCAGCAAAAACATTTAATTCTCTAATAACGTTTTCGACCGATTTTAGCGGCCTTCATCAGTTACTCCAATATCAAAAAGAACAAAGCATTCAAAATTTACATAATACAAAATTAAATAAAATTAAATTAAACTGCGGTTGCATAGAACAACAGAAAAAAAAGCTTTTTTTCTGTTGTTCTACGGAACAACGAAAAAAACAATGGAAAACTTTTTTCCGTTGTTCTACGCAACCGCAGTTTAATTTAATTTTATTTAATTTTGTATTACATAAATTTCGAACGCTTTGTTCTTTTTGATATTGGAGTAACTGATGAAGGCCGCTAAAATCGGTCAAAAACGTTATTAGAGAATTAAATGTTTTTGCTAGACTGTTAAAAAAAGGGCGTTGTTTACTTATATTATTTATTTGATTTAGTTCCAGTAAGATTTTTTGATTAATTATTAATTTAATAGTATGAGGCACGGATGACTCGTCCCACCTTGTATTAAAATAGACTATGAGTCACCCGTGACTTGTAACGCCTAGCAGCTGCCTAAACGTTTATCTACTGATGCTGTGAACGTATTAAGTAGGTGAAACATAAAGTTATCTCCAATTGTTAAACGATCAGCTCTCATGAACATGGATATACCTGTCATCTTGGCCTCTTGATAAAAAGAAACAAGATTTCTTTTTCTAATTCTCAATCTCCAATGTAAATCGTCAAAAAAACTTTACCCTAGAACATTTTTCCCTCATTTGGATATTATGTACATTTCGGTAAATCAATTTTTTATCAGAGACAACGTCACGTTTAGCCACCACCAAATTATTTTTTGAAACTATTTTAAGATCTTTCACCAAAATAGAGTCTCTATAGGGTCTTTTAACAGATGACAGAAAGTTGAAAACCAAAGACAGAACTTCCGATGAATTTTCCTCCAATTTGGTGATAACAGTATTATTTCTCTGATGTTCATTAGACAATGAATTCAAGAGATATAAAAAATAGGAAGTCTAAGTAGTAGAAGACACATTCAAGTTAGATAATTCTTTCACCTTCTTCACATTAATGAGTCAATGTTCGAAGTCTTTATGTAAATTTGCCAGCCATTCGAATTTAGTAGCTAAATCGTCAAGTTTAGTCAAAATGGTGTCAAATTTCTCTTCATAAAAAGAAAATAAATTTTGAGGTACGTTAGTAGACGAAGCCAATAAAGGAAAAAAGATACAAGTCATTGGGATTTTAGAACTGGTTTGCTAGGAGATCTTTGACATTTTTCAACAGACAATATAGACAACTTTGAAGGAGGGGAGGAAGGAGGAATGTGAGACATCGGGCCAGGATTAGATTCAATGCCACCAATTAGTAATAAAACACGCAGTAATAAATATATGTCAAAGCTTTTAGTAAAACTGAAGTAAATATACATACAAAAATTGACACAAATCATATCCAAAGCATTAAAGTTCATTATTGACAAGCTCACTCAAAAAACTGACCAACACTACAAACATTGCAAGCGCTCCTTCTTTTTTATTTATTTGATTTCTATTCTTTTCAAAGTTGGATACATCATAGAATAGAAACAAGTAGAAACTGAATGTGCAATCTTGTACTTGAAGGAGTTTTTTGGAAGCATAATGGATGCAGGATGGGAAATATGAGGATTTCCTACATTATTACATTATAATTACTATATTATTGTTAATTATTATTTTGTTTAGTTTTCTTTACTCTTAAAGGCATTGTGGTAAGGTTAGTTGTTTTCAAAATAAAAATCATCATAGTGAATTTATGAAAAATATTTTTATTTGAATGTATTCAGATTTTATAAATTTTGTTTTTTATACAAAAAATTCATTAAACAAAAATTCAATTGATCAAAGGAAATTATTTTTAATAAATATATTTCTAGTAATCTTATCATTTATTTTCAAAAAGAATCTTGTTTTGTTTGTTTATTTGAAAAGACTAAATTTAGAAAAGTAATCTAAATACAATAAAAATTTTAAGTATTTATAATATAAAATTTTTATTAAATGTATTAATGTAATGTTTTTTGTTTTGAAAGGAAATAAACAAGCTACACTTATTCCTGTAACAACAAGGCCAATAGTGACTGCTGCTACTACTACAGTAAATAATAGTAGTCAGCAGCAATCTTCTTCAATATCTTCTGTTGTAAATGTTTCATCTGGTGCTCCTGTTAAACTTACTCTTCCTATTTCTCCTGTCATTGCAGGTCAAACTCAGGTAATTTAATGTAAATAGTTTTGTTGCAAATTTATAGATATATTGTTGTAAGAATAATGAAATGATTCCATTATTACTAAACTCACCTAATCATAGTATATTTTACTAGCAGACATGTGGTGCAATCACGCCACATGCCTGCTAACTATAATATATACATGATATAGTTTATATGAAATTCCTTATTATTCATAAATTACATAATGGTATGTTTATACTTTTCAACTATCATCTGATTCTCCTGTAATGCTCCATAATGCATTGCACATACCATCCCCAAAACTACATAATACACATCCTCAATCAATCCTTTTAATTGTACTGAGGAATAATACACAACACATGGTATTAATTACATATAAAGTGACAAACAGTGCAGTTCACTATGTAATTTGCATTTTTGGATACAAAAATAAATCATTCTGTTACTCCTAGCATTATGTAACATTGTTGTAACCATCTCCACCTTCTTGTAATGTGTGTGACGATTATCTGCCTACTCATCCATGTCTACATTACATTATTATTACATAGTTATTATTCACGTATTTAGGTAATAACTATATACCTGAAACCCAGGTACAAAAAACAGATATTCAATGTTTAGCACTAGATTCTGTTTAATAAACATTAGAGAATTAGAACTAGTGCACATGTTTTGTATTCAGTAATTTGCATTGCTGATATATTTTCTTTTCCATAGACCAATGTAAGGAAAACATACTTAAAAACAGGGTTATTTTTAATACTTGGAGCATGTATAGCTCTTGTAAATCACATGTATACAGTATATGTTTGGAAAATAAATATTATATGCAAATGAATCATTATGGATGTTGATTTTGTGCAATAATTTAATATTCAATTATTGCACAATGATATTCAATAACATTTTTACTGGTTTTTCAATCTTAATACACAATCATACACTATGTTATTTTCAGATTGATTAATGAATGTGCACAAACAAATTAGAAGCATACAAGTGTGCACTGGTATAAAATGTAGGGCAATGTCTTCAACATTCAGCTCACATTAACATTGAATTTTGCAGAGATTCAAAATGTCTAATAATCTGGCATTTTTGATAATGTGGTATCATACTAGGCTCTTAGATGTCAGTTTAACAAACTTCTACTGTGTCATTTTATACTATTAATTAAGCAAAAAAAAAAACAATGTTTTTTAGATTGTCAATAAGAGCCAAAATTTACATCATAGAATTTGAAATGGACGATTGATTTATTTACAAATTTATGTAAAATATTGTTTATACTCTCTTGATATTAAGTGCTCAGCAAATAAACTCATAGGAACAAAACAACTTAATTTGTTGCTGAGAAATATATATAATTGAAACAAACAAACGTTTTCAGCCAAATTAACAGACCATCTTCAGGTAAAAAAAATGAAAATGGAACAGATACGTTCCATGCATAGAATACAAACATTTAAATCAAAATTTAGAACAAAAAATTTTTAAAAAATTATACAAGAAAAACGGAAGAACATTTAAAATTAACACAAAATAAAATGTCATAAATCTTCCAATAATTTTAGCCTGAGTTTTTAGTGAACTTTCTAACCATGTACTTCCACACCAACAGCAGGCTCTCAGCATCTCTCACATGTTCTTTTGTTTTTCTTGTATAATTTTTTTTAAATTTTTTGTTCTAAATTTTTTTTTGCCTGAAGATGGACTGTTAATCAGGCTGAAAATGTTTGTTTGTTTTAATTATATATATTTCTTGGCAACAAATTAAGGTGTTTTGTTTCTATACTCTCTTATTTAGTNAACTGTGTACCTATGTTTATGTGTTATTTAACATATATTATTATACAAATTAATATAAAAATAACTTAAAATTAAAGTAAAAAATTTGTTTTTGTGACGAAAGAAACTAAATTATATATTCAATTTTACGATTTTCTTAAACAGAATACACTAAAATGAAGTAAATTAAATAGATTTTTTAATTATTATTTAAACAAAATAGGCAACTTGTAGCTTATTCGATGCGAAAAATTTCCATTTGAAAGAAAATAGGTAAAGGTCCTATCAGTTAAGGTAAACAGAAAAAATAGCAGGAAGAACAACGAAGCAAGCTTTTCGATATTCTATGTGATTTATTGGTCATCCGGATCTCCATTCTTGTCTGATATCGTCTCGTCTCTCACACGATCTGTTACAGCAACTAGCTAGAAACAACCACCTTCCATTCCGACTTAACCCCCACCAAATCTGACTTTACACCATCCTTGAAATCGGTCGTTATTGGTTACTGAATTTGACTTCGTTTTTTTCAAGGAGAGAAAAAAAATTCTGGTTTCTTTTTCTTGCAGCGAGAACAGGAAGAGGGAGAGAGTTAGCGAAGTGTAATACGTTGCTATGGAAACGTGGGAATGACTTGTTCTGTATTAGATGAACGATCCTTGTGAGGTGGAAGCAAAGACGGATTTAATGGTTCACATATTCAGATATAGCATAGGTAGGTCCCTACGCAATACGCTTGTTAAGAATGCTTAAAACTTACAAAACTTTTTAAATTTTTTCTTTTTTTAAAAACATTCGTAAAAAGTATATTTTCTAGATATTCTATTTATGGAATTCCTAACAAGCATTATTATATTTTGCCAGATATAAGCAGAATCTAATAATATGTACGAACATCCTTCCTTTATTAAGGATGCATTTGGAAAGAAAAACTGAAAAAACGATGATGATTATTCTAAGATTATTTGCATAATTACATAAAATAATACTTGATAAAGTGAACATTTTAATGAAAGAAAAGAAATATTATCTAGAAGCAAACATGCTTACGTAATTTTGCGACTTAGATTATTAATATGATAATTAGTTAACGTTGTATTTAATAATGTTTGAATAACTTTATTCGTTTCTTTATTCATAAAAAGATGTAAGATTTTTAATATTTTTAAATGAATTAAATTAATAATTTTTCTATTTATACACTTAATGAGAAGAAATGGTCATTAAGGGGGTTCAAAGAAGCACGTGTGAACTTTTTCTGGAAACTGGCCAATAAATGATTATATTGCAAATTGAGGTAAGAATTTGCACTTGTACAGTTAAGCTAATGTAAATTATTTATTTTTTAATATTTAGTTTTCTCATCGCTGTAAAGTATGTAGATTAAAATGAAAATTTAATTAGTTGCATGTTTATGGAAGTGCTGTGTAGAGGCTGTTATATATTAATGTTAGACACTAAGCCTCTTAGACATCGAGCTACTCTATCTCGACCTCTGAGATGTCTTAGTATATTAAAAAAACCAATATATTACTTTTTTGAGGCCCTACCATATTGAATAAAGCATTAAAATTGTATTATATTTTTAAACAATAAAAGCTGACAATCTAAAAAATAAAGAAGTTTTTTCTTACTGTACAAGGAATGCAGCAAACATTTTTGAGGCCCTATCAAGCAGACTTAATGGCTTTCTGTGATAAGGCTTGCTTGAAACTTATTAAATTATGATGTTCTATGCATTTAAATGCAATTTCTTCTTATGTAAATTTAGATTTTTTAATTACTAAATAAAAATCTTTTGTTTGAAATGAAAATTTAAAACAGAAAAATTAGTCAATGATGAATTTGAATGATTTCAAAACATTTCTGATAAATAAAAAGTAAGGATTTCAATACTTGTGTCTGTTAAACTAAATATTGGCAATATTTAAAATTGTGTTGATTTTAGTTTTATTCTTCCTACATTGCTAAGACTTAATAATTAAGTATTATTAATCCTAGCATAAGTTGTTGTATTAACATTATAGTTTTAAAGAGTACATTGAAGCTAAAATATGGATTGATAAAATGGGGACATAAACATTCATTTTGTTGAAATTATAATATTTAGTTTATTAATTTATAACTAACTATAATCTTCTGTGTTATTGTTGTTCTTAATTTAATATCATTGTCATCATCATATTAAATAATTTAGGTAACATCTAAATCATCATCCGTACCTCAGCGTATGCTTATTCCTGCATCTAGCGTAACTTCTACATCACGAACTAATACATCTATGCCCACAATGGCTCTTCGACAATTGCCTGCAGGTACATTAATACCAGCTGCCGGGGGTAGTATTCTTATGGTCCCTGCCCAATATAATATTGCACAAGTAAGAATTTTTCATTTTTAGTTAATTTTCGAATTGCATCTCTACTAAGTTTGTTTAATATAAGAAAAGTGTAATATTTCATTAATACAACAAGCATTTTTTTATTCCAAAATCTGTGAGAAGATAAACTGTGTTTAATTCAATAAATATATATTTAACAACTAAATAAAATACAATGTTGCTTTTATTTAATTGCAAGCAATCTCTAAGAAACTATCGTATTTTTGTGGATTGCCCAGCATGTCTGTTAAACTGCAGCTAAAAAAATAAAATTAATCAGATCTAATAAAACTAGTTGTTAAATAAATGCTAAAGAAAACATTAATTTTTTTGGAAATAGAAAATATGGTAGATATTTAAAGAATTCATAAATTTAACTTTTAAGTTATAAAATGTCTATAATTATTTTATATAAATTAAACTCAGCTTTGTATTGACAGCAGTTTAACTTTTTAATAAAAAAAGTTATTTTTAGACAGTAGTAACACCACTATATTACAAAACTTTTTAATATAACTTTATTATTATTAGAAAAATTTAAAAAGTTTTTTTAACAATATGGGGTGTTACTACTTTCTGTTTAAAACGTTATCCATTTATCAGAATTAACATTCCATATATTTTGAACTTGAGGAATTAAAGATATGATGAATATTTTTTAAAACTAACATTTTTTCATAAATCTTCAACTTACATTTAGTTTAAGCATTTCAGTTATTCTATTAATATTGAATCATCATAAACTTTACTAACATATGGTATATTCTGAATATCTTTAAATTATGTATTTGTTTATATGCAATCTTTTTCCTAGTAATTATTTTATCTCTCAGTTACAGCAAACAAATCAGTCTCAATCAAATACTTTAGCTGGAACACAAATGCTGATTCAGTCAGTTCAGCCTCACAATATTTTACCTTCCCCAACTCCAGGAAACAATAATAATTCTAATGTTCAACAAACAAACTATGTACCAGTTGCAGCTGCAACAACCAATCAAATATTTGATCACAATTCATCTCAAAGCTTATCTTCATATTCACGAAATCATATTAATGGGTAAGAAGAGTTTTTATGATTTTATTATGGATTGTGACATGAAGATAACAACAATGTTGTTTAAAAACTAATTGTTAAATATATTTTAGTAGATCAACAGAAAGTGGAGATTCTAGACCACGTAAACCATGTAACTGTACAAAATCTCAATGTTTGAAACTGTAAGTTCTTCATTTTTAAAATTATTGTAATAAAATCTTTATTCTAGCATAAAAAATATGACTTAATTATAATTTTTAATATATTTAGTTTGATACATTGTTTTTTTTCCTTTTAAATAAAGTCAATATTTTTAATAAGGAAATTTTTTGATTATTTTTATAATAATTAAATGTGTGTCATATTCTTGCCATCCAATATTCAACCATATACAATTGAAATTTGCTGTAATTATCGTCAGTTCATAAATGTCTCAAAAGGCTGATACTTATTTTGATTGAAATGTTAGGCATCAAATTGTTTCCTACCAGTAATTATACCCATCGTTTTAACTATTAAATTACTTTCAGAACAGATTGAATTTCTGCCCATGATATCATGTTCACAAAACAACAGTAATAAAGCATTCTAGTAATTATCAGTTAAGTTTTATCATAAATAATGTATTTTATATATAAAAGTAACTTTTTGCCTTATTTTTATTTTCAAATTTTTTAAGAAATCCTGACATAAATAATAAAAATATTTGTTCTTTTTTAAGATGGGGTTGATAATAAAACACTATTGGTGATTCCAACAAACTATAGAGGGTGCTGTACAGATTTAAAATGACAAATTCGAACAGGGCAAGTTTGTTTACATTTACATTAAATGATGTCTTATGTGTTGTTAATGTGAATATTTACATTATTTGAAAAAAAGATGATAGTATAATGAATGCAAATTTCATTAATCAAATTTCAAGAGACAAATTTGGTTAATATTATTATTACATTATGTTTACAATTTCCAGCATTTTATGCCCACCTCATAGAATCAGTTTCACTATTTTTAATGAAAATTTAATAATCATGAGCAAAAATTATTGTGACATTGTCACACTGCCGGGCTGCAATTTTTAATTTATTTAATTTAAAACATATGTTCTCGATCTTAAATTAGTAGTGTCCTACCCCTCTACATTGGCCTGATAAGAATAGTCATGCCAATCATCTATGTCAGTGGTTCCCAATTAGTTTTTTCTGCGTACCACTTCAAGAAAGAGCTCAAACTCGCGTACCCCTTATAGGAGAAATACATATTAATCCAAACTAATATTATAAATTTGAAGGTAATTCTGTCTGTCTGTCATTTTTTCACGTCTAAACTGCTGAACAGGTTTTAATACAATTTGGCACAGAGATAGCTTACATGTTGGAGATGGACGTAGGCTACATTCTACTGCGAGGAAATATCTAATTCCCAGGAGAAAATTTGATATAATGCGGGCGAAGCTGTGGGTAGACAGGTAGTGATAAATAGAATAAGTTTTTTTTACATTTATTACCTTTAAAATACAATTCTAATAATAATGAAAATAGCATAAGGTTATTTAATTTTAATGTGACAAATGTGCACGATTATCTTTGCACAACTTTGTAAAATCTGGTCGCTTTTTGGTCAGCTTCAGTCTCAAGTCATCTTCGAGTCGAAGTCAGTGACGATGTTTAGTTTTCATGTTTGTCACGGCCGAAAATCCGCTCTTGCAGAGGTATTTTGTGCAAAATGGTAGTAAATATTTTACTGCCGCTTCGCTGACATTATAATAATGATAATTGTACAATTAACACAATTTGTGTTAATTGTACAATTTTTGTTTCTTGCGTAAGAATTTGATTTAGGTATTGTCACAAATGCATTTTTTGATGAAATTTCGAAAATATTTTTAGTTATAAATAAACGAATTTGTGCATTTGACATTGTGTTGTAAATTGCCGAATTTTTGATGGTCCACCCATTATTTTTTTTTTATCGCTTCATCTCATGCATTTAAATTTTAAATTGACAGATTTTAGATTGCTGCACGTACCCCTTCGTGCAATTTTGCGTACCCCTGGGGGTACGCATACCACTAATTGGGAAACACTGATCTATGTAATTCCATTCTGGGGAAATTTTTGAATTGAAATAATGTAACTTCCAATTTAAGCCAGAAGTTCATAAATAGTTAATTGGGACCTCCTGCCCCTAAGTTTTTCATATCTGGTCTCATCTTCCATCTATCTAACACCATTCTCGAGATTAAGGAAGGACGGATGGAATGGACAGATGACAGTGGGAATTTATAGGTTTATAACTTTTTCAAATTGCAGCCTAATAATTGCTGAAAGTTAAGAAAAATACAAACATATTTATATGTTAGTTTTGTTTGCTTATAGGAGAATTGCATTGTAACATAAGCTTATAAATAAAAACAATGGAATACCACCAAGTGTTGAAATAGTAACACACCTTGCGTTAGTGAATCAAAAAAATAAAAACAAGTTGGATAATAATATACAGTAGAGCATCGTTTATCCGAAAGCCGGTTATCCGAAATGTCAGTTAACCGAAAGCATTTCAGTCGACAAATTTAAATTTTTGCTAGTGCTGTGGCGCTGCAATCTTTGGCTATATCTTGGGCTACTCCAATATTTTTTTTGTTGATGTGTGTGATTTAGCTGGCAGCCCTGGCATTTTTGTGTGGTGTTTTTCTGAGGATGTGTTGTGCTGAATCAAACATTTTTGATACTAGATCAACTTCTAAAGTACATAATTTTTGGTTTTTATAGTTTTAAATATATTNGGAATGCCATTTAAATCCTTATGGAAGGTTTGAATGATTTGAACCATATTCAAAACAGTTTTGGAATGGTGATTAGAACAAGTATTTGAAGTTAAAAAAATTAACCAAATATAAAACTCAGACTTTTTAAACACTTAATGAACCATCAAACACCTTCTATTGCTGAGAAATGTTCATTAAACAAAACACTAACAATTTCAACCTAACAGAATAGGTCATCTTCAGATTATACCTAAACATACATTTATAGGCCAAATTTACTTGCTTTTTGATTGCACCTTGTATTCAATGGTCAAAAACAAGCACTTCATCTGAGAACGATATTCTAATGAACCTTAGTTCATTAGAATATCTATATCAGTATATTCATCAGTATATAATGATGTGTTAGGGTATATAATCAATCAGTATATAATGATGTGTTAGGGTAAGGTTTGAGAACGATATTCTAATGAACCTTAGTTCATTAGAATATCGTTCTCAAACCTTACCCTAACACATCATTCTCAAAACTTACTCTAACACCTTGTAAACATGCAGCCAAATTTATTAACTTCCTAACGTTTTCGGTCCTGTTAAAAGACCTTTATCAAGAAAAAACTTTAAAATTCGAACATAGTATATTTGCATAAACGAATAGGCTTTTTGAATGTTTTTGAATGATATTCTAATGAACTAAAGTTCATTAGAATATCATTCTAATAGACTATTCGTTTATGCAAATATACTATGTTCGAATTTTAAAGTTTTTTCTTGATAAAGGTCTTTTAACAGGACCGAAAACGTTAGGAAGTTAATAAATTTGGCTGCATGTTTACAAGGTGTTAGAGTAAGTTTTGAGAATGATGTGTTAGGGTAAGGTTTGAGAACGATATTCTAATGAACTAAGGTTCATTAGAATATCGTTCTCAAACCTTACCCTAACACATCATTATATACTGATTGATTATATACCCTAACACATCATTATATACTGATGAATATACTGATATAGATATTCTAATGAACTAAGGTTCATTAGAATATCGTTCTCAGATGAAGTGCTTGTTTTTGACCATTGAATACAAGGTGCAATCAAAAAGCAAGTAAATTTGGCCTATAAATGTATGTTTAGGTATAATCTGAAGATGACCTATTCTGTTAGGTTGAAATTGTTAGTGTTTTGTTTAATGAACATTTCTCAGCAATAGAAGGTGTTTGATGGTTCATTAAGTGTTTAAAAAGTCTGAGTTTTATATTTGGTTAATTTTTTTAACTTCAAATACTTGTTCTAATCACCATTCCAAAACTGTTTTGAATATGGTTCAAATCATTCAAACCTTCCATAAGGATTTAAATGGCATTCCAAAAATTCTTAACACTAATGACATGTGATGTTCTGGTATGTTACATTCAACTTTTCATAATTTGCCATGTGTACTGCCAGTGTGTCACACTACTACTTAGTTTATATTACAATTTTTCTTATTGGCAAAATAGTGTGTGTTGTATTAATGGATACATGATGCCTCAGGAACATCTGATTTTTACCAATATGAAAAATTTTAGGTTATCTTTGGATTTGAATGAAAGAAAGAATACATTAACACTCCTAAACCTTATAACTTCAGTAATAAACATTTAATAGCAAACTAAAGTTTTCAACCGTACATTCAGTCTTCTTCAGGAGTTATAAGGTTTAGGAGTGTTAATGTATACACTTTCCAGTATTCGCGTAAGAAGATTTGAGAAAGAAAGAATAATAAAGATCAACTTTTATTGAAAATAGAGAAATTGTTGAATCAACTTCCTACTAAAACATTATAGTGAACGTAACCTGTTTTCTTCTAGATATTTCTTTGAAAATGTATACTAGATATCAGGTTTGTGATATTTAGTGTACATTTTTAATATTAATTGAGTCTTATACAATCTAGGTATAATTTTTGACAGTAGATTGATTTTCAAAAACCATATAAATAAGGTAATTAAATCATTGGCAATCTGACAAGGAATTCTATGGTGGTTTTGTAAACCTATTTTATCCAAAATCGTCTTGAGATTATTTTCTTTATGAACATCCAATCTATAATAGACTATGGTTTACTTATTTGGTTAATGACTATGCCCTTCCTTTTCAACAAAGTTATTAAGGAAATTAATAAAATCTACCTGCTGCTAAATAGACTTAATCATTTGCCCTATATTGATTACCCAGATGTAGCTTAAGTTAGGCTCAGTTTACCAATCCAAACAGAAAGAATTAAATACTTTGATCATATTCTATATTGTAAAATTTTTAATGGTCTAATACATAATTATTTGCTAAGGTTGAGAGTACCTTCGAGAGGAACTCGTGATATGCCATGTTTTTTTATATTGTTTTATCGTTTATCTTTATCCCATCATTCATTTTTT